TCTTTCATTCTTTGCAAGCGGCACGTGCGTGCCCAGGCTCGTGCAGAAAGCCAGGGGGGGTCACCGATAGGATTCCCACAGCTCCTCTCTCATTATTTGCAAGTGTTACGTGCGTGCCCAGGCTCGTGCAGAAAGCCAGGGGGGGCACCGATGGGGTTCACACAGCTTACGATCGTTCGAAGTGTTGATGCGTACCCATGTGGGCAAGACAGGAAGCACAGGTCAGAGCAACGTTGGAGAACAACACTAAGAATTAACTAATAGCCAATGCTTCCCGGACAGCTATGCGCAACCTCTATGGACACCGTATTTCTCGAAGGCTTTATTATGCAGTGCTGAAGCAGTGCGCAGTAAACGATGGAACAACCAGTTGTGCTTAAAAGCAAATATCTGCAACCTCGCTTGTGTGTTTTACAGGCTTCCTGCGAACATGTTTAACGACCGTGGTGTTTTTTGGACTGGCGTCGCGATCTCCTTGAGGGGTCCTGTTGGCTGTCGACATCTTTCAAATTCTGAACCCTGGCGGGTTTCGCAGGAGTCTCACCTGCGGGGGTAGGGCGGTTGCCTACTGTCTGCGCCGCCGCCACTACTGGCGGGCTTAGCTGCCTCGATGCGCCCGTCTTTCTGGACGCCCGAGATGGGCACGGAAGGAATGGGTACGATGCCCGACAGCAGTTCCTGTCCACTTTGAACAGGACTCGCTGTCCGCGCCGCCGCGGCCTGTGTCCATTCGAGACAGAAGGCCGCCTGCCCAACAGCGGCCGCTGTTGCTTTGGGACAACATTCGCTGTCGGGCATTGTACCCATTTTTTCCGTACCCATTTCGGGCGTCCAAAGTCTTGAGACGCAGCACGCAGCGTGCCCAAAACGCCCGTGCCAATACGTTGCGTGTTGGTCCGCCACGGGTTGGCCCACGTCTCCGGCGAACGTGCCGCGCCAGGCGTGCACGCTTTCAGCCCGCGCGTGGAGCTCCGTGTCGGCGCGCTGCGTGCCGCGTGTTGCGTCTCGGGGCAGCCACGCTGGCTGGTGGACCGACGGCTCACCCGTGCCCTGCACAGGGCCGAGCAGCGGGGGCAGGACTGCTCGGGCGGCTCGCTCGCCCTCCCGCTCGCCGCAGCCTCGGCCTGTCCAGATCAGGGGCGCGCCGGGCCTCTGCGGGCCGCCCGAGCCCCGCCAGCGGCGAGCTGCTGGAGCCATGGCAGCGTCTCGGGCGCTCGCCACGCTCGTCGTCGTCGTCGTCGTCGTCGTCGTCGTCGTCGTCGCCGTCGCCGTCGCCGTCGTCGGCACCTCTAGTGTCCCCGGGCGCGTGCGTCTCTCGCTCGTCTCTGGCCTGCATTGTGTGGCTTGCTTTCGCCCCTCCTTTGCCATGAGGAGAAGGTCCAGCATCTTGGGCATGCTCCAGTCCTCTCCTCCTCCTTTTCCTCCTCCTCCTCCTCCCCCCCCTCCTCCTTCTACTCCTCCTCCTCCTCCTTCTACTCATCCTCCTCCCCTTCCTCCTCCTCCTCCTCCTCCTCCTCCCCCTCCCTCCTCCTCCTCCTCCTCCTCCTCTCCCTCCTCCTCCTCCTCCTCCTCCTCCTCCTCCTCCCTCCTCCTCCCTCCTCCTCCTCCTCCTCCTCCTCCTCCTCTCCTCCTCTCCCCTCTCCTCCCTCCTCCTCCTCCTCCTCCTCCTCTCCTCCTCCTCCTCTTCGTCGTCCACCTCCTCCTCCTCCTCCTCCTCCTTCTCCGCCTCCTCCTCCTCCTCCTCCTCCTCCTCCTCCTCCTCCTCCTCCTCCTCCTCCTCCTCCTCCTCCTCCTCCTCCCCCTCCTCCTCCTCCCCCTCCCCTCCTCCTCCTCCTCCTCCTCCACCTCCTCCTCCTCCCCCTCCCGCTCCTCCTCCTCCTGCTCCCCCTCGCCGGAGGCAGAGGAATGCCAAGAGAAGGTCGGCGCAGGGGGAGGGGGGGGAGGAGCGCTCAGGGAGGGTCGGAAGAAGGCCGGAGCCCAGATCGGACTTCCGGCAATTATGGTTCACCAGTCCTCGGTTGCTGAGTCGTGTTGGACCCGCTTTCCTCCTCCTCCTCATCCTCCTCCTCTTCCCCCTCCTCCTCCTCTTCCTCCTCACGAGCGGCGAGCGGGTCGGGTCCAGCAGCCCGCGCCTCCACGCTGCCCATCACGAGCTCCGCGCGCAGGCGGAGGAGCGGGGCCGCAGAGCGGAGCGGCGGCGAAGCAAGCCCAGCAGCGCTGAGGCTGCTGGCGGCCCCAGGCGGCGCCTCCCGTCAAGCAGTGGCGAAGCGTCTCGGCTCGCCTGTAGGCCCGCCGAAGGATGTTCTCATAACCGTTTGTAGAGTGCACGAAATGTTCTCATAACGTTTCTGGCTGAGATTGTCTTGTTTGAACACATCGGGTTTATGCTCTGGACCTTGTTTTTGTTCTTAGGACATTTTTGAGTTCTCGGAGGGTCCGAGCGAAGTCCCGTGCCGCCCCTCGCGCGCCAGGCGCGCGCCAGGCATGGGGTGCCCGCGGTCAGCGTCTGCCCACGATTTCCGCGCGGACCTCCCGCACTCTACGTTTGCCAGGCTGTCTGTCGTGCTGCAGTGGAAACCCGTGCCAAGAAGCACCCCGCTTGCCCCCAGGGTGCCCCAGGTTTCTTGGGCCTCGGTGGCTGTGCCATGGAAGGCGCGGCCTTCCCCCCACACAGACAGAACGAGGGACGTCCTGGGGCCTCTGGGTTGGGCTTCCTGTGGAAGGGCGCTTGTGGTCGAGCTTCTACTGTAGACCTACAGTGCCGTTTTTAATACATGCTCCGCGTGCGGATCATGTATTACAAATGCAGAGATTCAGTATTTAAAACAACGATGAATGGATGCATACATTTATACATAAATTAATTATGTATTTTTTTATATTCTAAAACCTATGTATTAAAAACTGCCCTGTAGGGGCAACTCCCGAGCCCTGCTCCTGGCCCTCGTGGGCATCTGGAGCGCGCCGGTGGCATTTGCTCCGCACGCCGCGCTGCAGCTGAGGCCTCGCTGGCGCGAGAGCGACGGGCTGACGCCCGGCGTGGCGGACGCCCGGCGGGCCAGGGCAGCTCTGCAGCGTGCTGGCTGGCTTTGCCCCGGGGGCAGGAATAAAGACGTGGCCCCCAGGACGTTTCGATCCACTCATTCTCTTCGAAGAAGAAGAATAATAATAAGAAGAAGACGAATAATAATAAGAATAATAAGACGAATAATAATAATAATACGAATAATAACAATAATAATAATAAGAAGAAGAATAATAAGAATAATAATAAGAATAAGAAGAATAATAAGACGAATAAGAATAATAATATTAATAATAATAATAATAAGAAGAATAAAATAATAATAATAATATTAATATTAATAATAATAATAAGCATAAGAAGAATACTACTAAGAAGAAGAATAATAATAAGAAGAATAAGAAGAAACATAAGAATAATAACATCGGGCCACAACCATAAACGTTTGGCGCTCCGCGCGGCTTTCTCGGTGCCGCGCTGGGCCCCCCGGCGGCGCCTCCGGCGTCGCCCCTGGCGGGCTCCGCGCGCCAGGGAGGGGGGTCCAGCGCAGATCCAAGAAAGATCAAAGAAATCCGTGCAGAGCGCCAACAGTTTTTTTTTTTGTTGTTGTTGTTGTTTTGTTTCTTCTGCTTCTATCTCTGTCGGGCTTGGTAGCAAATCACGGGAGCCTTGAGTACCCTCGCAGTTCTGTCTTTGGAGTGCACTATCGTCGATTGGCGTCTGGTTATCGATGAGACAGTGTCGATTTAGCCTCGATGAGCGTCGATGAGTGTCGACTAGCGTGGACTCAGCGTTGATTAGCGTCGATTGGCGTCGATTTAGCATCGACTAGTGTCGATTCGCAAGAGTCAACAAGATGGTATGGGAGGCTCCCATGAGTTGCCGCCGAAGTCGGGGCTCAGGAGACGGGGGTCCATGCAAACGGGGGTCAGCCAGAGCGCCAGATCTTGCAGGATCCTGCAGAGCCAGGGCTGCACTGACCCTGGCTCGTGTTCAGGATCCTGTAGGACCCTTCAGTATCTTCTTCCTCCTCCTCCTCTTTTTCTTCCGCCTTCTTTTCCTTCTCTTCCTCCTTATCCTCCTCCTCCTCTTCCTCCTCCTTTTCCTCCTCTTCCTCCTCCTCCTCCTCCGCGACTCTGGGACCGTTTTTATCCCGAGTCGTAATTGGACGGTCCCTTGGCCCGGCGAGGGCCCTCCCCCGAGGTCGACAACGACGAAGACTCTCCAAACCTTATTCTGATGTTCCAACCTACTTTTAGCTTTGACCACCAGAAAGAATTTCGAGCAGCAGAGAACGTACCGAAACTCGATGTTTTTCACGTGTCGGGCCCTGGGAGACGCTCGTCCAGCACTGTTTCGACACTGTTTCGACACTCTCGAAATCAAACGCACGTTCTTGATGCTGATCGACGCGCGAAAAATACGCGGCCATCGGGGTCCGAGTGTCGACTTTGCAGTCGCCAGCCTCGGCGCGAGTATCGAAAGTCGGGTCCTGGGGCGCCGCCACGTCGCGGGAAAAACTTGCGCTTGATCTCGAGGAGGGGTGCACAGTGGAGGCCCATGCCAAGAAGCACCCTGCTTGCCTCCAGGGTGCCCTGGATCTCTTGGGGCCCGACGGCTCTGCTGTGGAAGGCGTGACGTTCCTGCACCAAACACCCGATGGACGTCTTGGGGTCTCAGGGTGGGCTTTCTACAGTCGAGGTCGATTAGTAGGTCGACCCTGCCAATCAAGGGTACCCTTGTGCCCTGTGTGTCGCGACACGTGCCTCCTGCATTCCTATGGCAATGTGGCCTTCGGAAGGGTCCTGCGTCCTATCGCGTGTCCTATCCAATCAATCCCGACTGTAGTGGACGGCTCCTCGTGGATTGGCCTCCCTTGCAGCGACGCGCCGCGCCGAGCCTCGTCGAAAAACGCCGCGCGCCTCCTCCGGTTGGCCGAGCCGCGCGCGCCGCGGCCGCCCTGCCGGCTCCCAGGGGCGCGCCGCCGCTCCCGGCGCGCGCGCGCCGCCCCGCGGGCCGCTCGCGGGGGGGCCAATGCCGCAGGGCGGCGCGGGAGCCGACGACGACAGCCCCGCGCGCACGCCGCGCGCGCACCGCGGCGTGCCGGAGGACCATTTTTTATGTTATATATTTATATATTTATCCATCTATATATATATATATATATATGTATGTATGTATGTATGTATGTATGTATATATTTGTATACATATATATATATACAGATATATATATATATATATAAACTTGTTTCTCTTCAGTCGTCGGGTGTTGCCAGAGCCAGGCTCCCCTCGAGTCGCGATGAGCAGCACGGCGGGGGGTCTTCCGCCGTGTGCGGCCTTTGGGGGCCCTTGCCGGGCCTCGGGGCCTGGTGAAGTCAGGGCTCAGGGCGGAAAACTGGTCCCGCGGAACGGGTCGCGACCTCTGGGGGCCGACTTTATGAAAGAATCATGACGTCGGGGGTCTGGGCAGGTACCCCTGGCCCAAGGTGCCCCCTGGGATCCCCAAGGAGGTCCCCACGGCTTCCAGGGCACCCCTCAAGAGGCCCTCAGGGCCCCAGGGGCTCCGAAAGTGAGCGAAAAGCTGGGGGCACCTTGGGAGTCTCGGCGGCAAGCGGGGGGGGGGGGGAAATGAGGAGGAGAAGGCTCAGAAGGCGGAGGGACTTCTCGGTAGCCCTCGTGCTTTCTGAGAGGTTGTCTGAGCTTTTGGGGACGGCTCAGAAAACTGACCAGAAGGCCAGGGGACTTCCGAGCCTTCTCAGAAAGCCTTCTCCTTCTCGCTTCCCCCCAGGGCTCGTCGCCGATACGCGGTGAGCCCGTCATTCGGCGACCACGAAGGGTGCGGTTACGCCGGGGTGTGGTAAGTTTGCGATCTGCGTCGGGCGGCTGGGGCCTGGAGGCCACCACGCTGCCCCCGTCGGGCCCCCTCGGGGCGTGGCGGAGGACCCTGTCGAGACCCTCTCACCCCGCCCCCGGGGTGCGGGTTGCAAGCCACACCCCTCTGCGTCCTTTTGCACCCCTTTTGCACCCCTCGGAGTTGCCGAGCAGCGTCCGTTGCGGGGGGGTCGCCCCCTTCTCCCGCCTATCCTCAGGAGGAAAAGAAACACACAGACACAATTAATCCTCGATTTCCTAGAAAATATGGGAAAATATGGGAAGTGGGGGGGAAGACAAAAACCCAGAAAATATGGGAAAATATGGGGGTTATTTTTATTTGTGTGTATTTATTTGTGTGTCCCAGGGCCCCTTCGTATCCGTCCCCCTTTCCGCCCCTCCTCCCCGTAACGGAACCGAGCGTACGCGGAGGGGGGGAGCGCCTCGATCCCCCTTCGAGGGGCGGGCCCGTCGGCCTCTCGGCCCCGCGGCCCCAGGACCTCGGCATCGCTCGGGCGTGCGCCTTTTGTGCCCGGCGAGGGCCCTCGAGGAGCACCCCTGGGGGGGCCCAGGCATGTACACCACCACCACCTCCCTCCCCACCTTCCTCCCGCGGGAAGGAGGAGAGAGGAGGAATATCGACGTGGTGGTGGTGTATACTCTTTGGGCCCTCAGCCCTGGATCATCGGGCAGCGACGAAAGGCACTCATGACGCTGACAAAGACACGGGGACGGGACGCCCGAGCGATGGCAAGGGACAGGTTTTTCATCCCGAGCAGCTCTTTCACGGCCCCGAGGCGCGGCAGGGGCCGCGAGAGGCCAACAACGCTGAAAAACCTTCGCCTCGATTTTTGTCGAGACGCTGCATGTCTGGGCCCCCCTCTCCCCCGTCACGGGCGTTGATGCCGGCACGATTAGTATCCATACCCACTGCTTCTGGGAGCTTCGCGGACTCCCTGAGAAACCCGAGGCACTGTGGACATGGACAGAGATCTGGCCCCTAGAGGCCAGATCCTTGTCCATATCCACTGCGCCTCGGCCTTCTGACGCCCCCTCCAGAGAGTCGTCCTCTCATTGTCATCGTCATCGTCGTCGTCGACCATCGTCATCGTCATCGTCACCGTCGTCATCGTCTTCGTCATCGTCATCGTCATCGTCATCGTCATCGTCATCGTCATCGACATCGTCATCGTCATCGTCATCGTCATCGTCATCAGCATCGTCATCGTCATCGTCATCAGCATCGTCGTCGTGGTCGTCGACGTGGTGGATGTTGCCAGAAGTAGTGTCCGCAGTCACGGGTGGGGGGGCAGAAGCACGATCTCTAGGCGCCGGGGGCGGCCCTGGCGGAGCTTCGCCGTCGGTCCGAGGAGTTCCAGCGGAGCCTGGAGGCTCGGGGGGAGGAGGCCGGAGGACGAGATGCCGCCGGCGCTGCCCCCTCTCGGGCAGGCCTCGGAAGAGGAGTGCTGGACGCTTCGCGTGGCCCCGCCGGCCCGTGCAGAAAGGATGCTCGGGCGAGGTTGCCCTAATCAGGCATGTGGGGGAGCCACGCAGTGGAAGACCGGCCGGGAGGCCGTCATGCCCCAAGAGGGGGAGGATGGAGGAGGAACCAGAGGAGGAGGAGGAGGAGGAGGAGGAGGAGGTAGAGGAGGAGGAGGGTAGGAGGAGGATGATGAGGAGGATGAGGAGGAGGGAAGGAGGAGGAGGAGGATGAGGATGAGGAGAGGGGGGGGGGGGGGATGATGGAGGAGGATGAGGAGGAGGAAGATGAGGAGGAGGATGAGGAGAGGAGGAGGATAGGATGAGGAGGAGTGAGGAGATGAGGAGGAGGAGGAGGAGGAGGGGTATGGGAGGGGTGAGGAGGAGTAGGAGGGAGGAGGGAGGATGAGGATGAGGAGGAGGAGGAGGAGGGGGAGGAGGAGGAGTGAGGAGGAGGGGAGGGGAGGAGGAGGGGAGGCGGGGGAGGATGAGGGGAGGCGGAGGCGGAGAGGAAGAGGATGAGGAAGGAGGAGGTACAGAGGAGGAGGAGGAGTAGGAGGAGGAGGAGGAGGGGAGGAGGCTGAGGAAGGAGGAAAAGGAGGAAGGAGGAGGAGGGAAGGAGGGAGACGGGAGTACGGGAGACGGAGACGGGAGACGGGAGCCTGGAGGCGGGAGGAGGGAGGAGGGGGAGGGAGAGGGAAAGGGAGGAGGATGAGGAGGAGGGAGGAGGGAGGAGGAGCAGGAAGAGGGGAGGGAGGGAAGGAAGGGAGGAGGGAGGAGGGAGGAGGGAGGAAAGGCAGGGAGGAGTGAGGAGGGAGAGGGAGGGAGGGAGGGAGGGAGGGAGGGAGGGAGGGAGGTGAGGGGGGGAGGGAGGGAGGAGGAGGGAGGATGGAGTAGGAGCAGGAGGAGGATGAGAGGTATAGGAATAGGAGCAGGAGATGGATGAAGAGGAGGAGGCGGAGGAATAGGGGGAGGAGGAGGGCAGGGGATGAGGAGGAGGAAGAGGAGGAGGAGGAGGAGGAGGAGGAGCAGGATGAGGATAATTAGGCGGAGGAGGAGGAGGAGGAGGAGGAGGAGGAGGAGGAGGAGGGAGGCGAGGCCCCTTGGATGCTTTTCAGAGTCTCGTCGGATGTCTCTTGAGAGCTTCTTGTAGGCCTGTTGGGTCGTCTTCGGGGCCTCTTGGTGGTCCCCTCGGCATCTTGAAATGTCTTGGGGCTCCCACGGGAGCCTCTTCGGGCCTCTTGGGGGTCTCTTGGGAGCCTCTTGGGGGCATCCTGGGGGCATCTAGGGGGCCTCTTGGGGGCCTCCTGGGGTCTCCTGGGCGTCTCTTAGGGCCCTCTTGGGGCACTCTTGGGAGCCTCGGGGGCCATCTTGGAGGGGATCGACCAAAGAAGGGTACTCGATTAGGGATTCCCCCTTCAGGAGGCCGAAATTGGGCGAAAACCGTGGTACAATCAATGATATTGGCCTTCTCGGTCGAGACCATCTTGGACTTTCTAACCTCTCGCGGGCCCCCCGTCCAGGTCCAGGGGGAGGGGATCCGTAGGAGGAGGGATAACCCCCTCCCCGACGAGAAGAAGGGGGGTCGGACGAGGGAACGCTCTGAATCACTCACGCCCTAAAGGGCTGGTAGGATTAGCGAACACTCATGCCACATTCAAAGTTGTTGGTGGGTTGAATGAGTTGCATCCCCAGTCTTCCCCGCGCGTGTCAACTTTGAAATCGGGGGAGATGGGGAGAGTCCACTTATTGCTTCTCTCTGCTGGAGACCCTCGTTGCCACCCTCCGAATTCACCTCGAGCTTCTGGGCAGCACGCGGTCAGGGAGTGGCGGTACTGGTATCCTGGGGTTTCCCCAGAGGCAGGGACACGTTGGACTCGAGCACAACCAGAACTCGGAGCTGCCGACGCTTCTTGACGGGCCCGTCCGGTTGTCGTGGGGTGCTTGCAGCGGGAGCTCGCACCTAATTTCAGAATTATCTTTATGTCGGGCCTGTCCCTCTACAGGGGAAACATTCAAAAATAGTCAAAACATAGCCTGGGGACGATCTTTTGAGTATTTTTGACCATTCTGGAATATTTCGGGAGTATTTTTTATTTTTCGTCGAAAGTCCCCCTGTAGGGGGACACGCCCGACTTAAGATTATCTTGACGGCCCCGTCGGGTCAACCCGTGTAGTCTTGCGCCTCCCCGGCGTACTCGGTAGCAGCTCGTGGGAGCCCCGTGCGTCTTCGTAGCTCCATCCTCGGAGTGTGTTCGTGTGCGCTAACGTCTGGCCGTCGATGAGAAGGCACTTCTGTAGAGCGCCGGTTCGCGTGGAGGTAGCATGGGTAGACGTCGGTCAGCGCCGGCTCGTGTCTGTCCGCGTCGGTTCGCAAGAGCCAGCCAGCACGATTGTACAGTCTCCTCGCACAGTGGGGGCGAGCAGCTTTCCAAGGCTACCCTTGCATCCTTGCCCCCTCGGCCCATCCTTGGCGACTTCCGTCGGCCGCTCCCTCCTTCGAAAAACGTTAACATGGCCATTCAAGGCCCTTGCATCCTTGTCGTGCGTCCTTCTTCTACGGGTTGGCTTTATGGGAGGCTCCCGTAAGTTGCCACTGGTACACCTGGAGCCACGCGACGCCTGAGGGGCATCCCAGGCATGCAGGCCATGGCTCTAGCCTCCTAACCGAGGGGGGGGGGAGGACCATCGAGGAGGACGATCGAAGATCCAGGAGGAGTGAGGAGGGAGGGAGGGAGAGAGGGAGGAAGGGAGGGAGGGATGGAGGGAGGGAGGGAATGAGGAGGAGGAGGAGGAGCAGGAGGAGGAGGAGGAGGAGGAGGAGGAGGAGGAGGGGCAGGAGGAGGAGGAGGCGGTGCAGGAAGAGGAGGAGGAGGAGCAGGAGGAGGAGGAGGACGAGGAGGAGGAGGCGGAGTGAGGTGGAGGAGGAGGAGGAATAATCATATATACGCATAGATTTGTACACCACCACCACCACCACCACCACCACCACCACCACCACCACCACCACCACTACTACTACTACTACTACTACTACTACTACTACTACTACTACTACTACTACCACAACAACAACTATTCTTACTATTACTACTACTGCTACTACTACGACTACTACTATTACTACTACTACTACTGCTACTACTACTACTACTACTACTACTACTACTACTGTTACTACTACTACTACTACTACTACTACTACTACTACTACCATCATTACTGCTACTACTACTACTACGACGACTACTACTACTACTATTATTACTACCACTACTACGACTATGACTACTACGACTACTACTATTACTACGACTACGACGACTGCTACTATTACTACTACTACTACTACTACTACTACTCCTACTCCTACTACTACTACTACTACTACTACTACTATTACTACTACTACTACTACTACTACTACTACTACTACTACTACTACTACTACTAC